TACAGAGATACGAATGGGCTGGACTATACTGATTGACTCCCGAAACCCAAACATCAAGCTTAAATACCTCGCAAAACCACTGCAATCTCAGCCAGAGACTGCTGTTTGGTGTTTCCTGCGAAGGAACACCCCTCAGCCAGGTACTGCTGCCTGAGTCTGCCCGCGAAAACTACCTGTGAGAGAACAAATCGTGACTGAGCCTCACCCCTTCCCTCCCGCAACGGCGATAGGGTTCCCCTTATCCTCACCTACCATCCCACCAGCAGAAGATCTAGAAGATCATCAAACGCCATTTCCGCCACCTTCAGCAAGATGCCACCACCAGACACATATTCCCCTCCCTTCCCTTGTCCGCCTTCCGCAGGGACCATTCCCTCCAGGACATCCTGGTCCACAGTTTCTTCACCCCCCAACACCTCCCCACAGCCCTACGGCACCTTCCCCTGTAACTGGCGAAGGTCCATTTACCTCCTCCCTCCCCACTATCCAAGGGCCCAAACATACCTTCCAGGTGAAGTAACACTTCACCTGCACTTCCAAGAATCAAGTCTACTGCATTCGCTGCTCACAATGTGGTCTCCTCTACATTGGGGAAACGAAGCGTAGACTTGGCGACCGCTTCGCAGAACATCTACGTTCTGCTCGCAAAAAAGACCCTGAACTACCTGTTGCCTGCCACTTCAATACACCACCCTGCTCTGTGGCCAACATCTCTGTCTCCGGCTTGCTACAGTGTTCCAGTGAAGCCCAACGCAAGCTGGAGAAACAACACCGCATTTTCCGCTTGGGGACCCTATAGCCCTCCGGACTCAATATTGAGTTCAATAATTTTAGGGCCTAAACTCTCCCCTGTCCCAGCCCCCCACCCCACACACCAGGCCTTGTTACCACATAGCTTGCCACTACACATCCCCTGTTGTTAGTCACTAACAGTCCCCATTAACAACTATTCACCCTCCCAGCCTGATCGTTAGCAACTCCTTTGTCTGTCCAACTGTCTTTCTCTCTCTTTGGGCTCTATCCTATCGTTTACTCCCTACCCCACCCACCTCCCTATTTTCTGCATATAAACTGACGTTTTCCCAGTTACCATCAGTTCTGAGGAAGGGTCACCGGACCCGAAACATTAATTCTGTTTTTTCCTCCACAGATGCTGCCAGACCTGCTGAGCTTTTCCAGTAACTTTGTTTTTGATAGTGTAGTTGCTCTTTACTGCCCTATATGGTGGCATGTGAGCATGTACGGAGTTTGTTCTGCACAGGTTAATCTCTAAGGAAAACAGAAGCCTTAACAGCATGAAAAACAACATAGTATGGTCATATAGAGTGCTACATTAATGTCAAGTGTCAATGTTATTTTACTTATCTTTTCCACCTGTTATGTCTGGATACTATCTCAGCAGTCGAGCTTAAAATACCTATTTCTGGTTTTCTAGCTTTTTTCAGATTACTCTAATGGCAATAATCTGGTGGTCCAGAGTATAGAGGCTCTAGGCAACTAGGGGTCTGCTGCAAAGCTACAGTCACAGTTTTCTCAGTCTGAACTGATGGAGGCCTTTAGGTAACAGGAACATACATATGAGTATATGACATGGGAATAGAAATAGACTGTTTAGCTGCTCAAACCTGCACTACCATTCACTAAGATCATAGTTGATCTGTTTGGATTTTAAATTCCATATTCCTATGCCACAGATAAAGCTTGATGGCCTGCCTAACAAGAATCTATCCACCTCTGTCTTAAAAATATTCAATGACATCACCTTCACTTCCTTCTAAGGCAGAGAACTGTAAATCTTTGAAAGGAAAAATTGTTTTGCATCTTCTTTGGTGAAGACAAAACAAATTTTTTGTTGACTTCATCCATCATTTCCTTCTTATCTATTATTAACCCCCCCATTCACTTTACTTACTCTTCTTTTTAAATACCTATCGAAATTCCTGCTATCAATTTTTATGTTCTGAGCTAGTTTCCTCTCAATCTCCAATTTCTTTCTTATGATTAACTTTTAGTCTTTGTCTGCCATTCTTTGTATTCCGACCAATTAACTGACCCGCTAGTCATCTTTGCTTATTCCTTAGAATTGATGCTTTCCCTAACTTAATAATTGACCAAATATGGTGAGTTCTTCCTTTACAATTGTTCTTCATAATAAATATTCTGAAAGTCCTTCAAGGGAGCAATTGATGTTTTGGCCTGGGAGCAAGAGCAGTCCTGCTCCAAGAACAATGGAATTTGGGTGTCACTGGCACATCTCTAAATGCCCTTTTGAAGTGAGTGCCTCACTAAACCATTTTTTTTAGGATAATTAAGAGTCAAACACATTACTGTGGATCTGAAATTAGACCAAGCGAGGATGAAAGATTTCCATCTCTATCGGACATTAGT